TGTCATCATCTTCTCGAAAGACAATCTCCATATCCAACAATATATCCGCAGCATTATTTAATAAGTGATCATATAGTTCGCGGCCATAATGTGTACGAAGATCAAAGAATTGCCTTATTGTCAACGACGGATGCAGAGGACTGACACTTGAAATATCCCAAAGGACTCCAAATTCAGATCAGTTAAAAAACCAGAAAGAACTATTCCCTCGATTCACCAAAGCTTTAGAAGAGGTCAGCGCGATTCCGAATTTTTTAAAGTCGGTTGCACGTAGTTTTCTGTTGCGCTGTTAGAGACAAAGAATGCAGAAACTTTGTCCATAATCCAACATTTTTCTCCATCTTCCACAATAACTTTGCCAAGAAAGCATCTATTGTATCCCGAAGTTCCTTAAAACAAGGCCATTTTCTTGTTGAGGATACGTAAGATTGTCCCAAGATCTCCAATGTCGCCTCGTTTCTTCATCATTGTTTCCCCATAAAAACTTCTGAAATGTCACTTCCATAGCAGATAAAACAGCCTTCGAGGGTCCAAAGTGCCCACTTGTGAATAGGGATAGCCGTAAGAACATGCTTGATCAAGAGCAGGCTACCTCCTTGTGACAACATCTTATTTTTCCAATTTGCTAACATTCGATACACCGCATCCAGAAGGTATTGATAATATTCTGATTTCTTTCTTCCTACATAAATACGACAACGCAAGTAGGAAAAGGGAAAGAAACCTTGCTCCATACTAAGCTCACCTTTTATAGTGTTAATCCGGCCTGGACTACATTTATCAGAAACAAGAAAAAAGCTTTTTGATTAGCTAATCTTTTGTCCCGAAGCCCCTTTGTAGTCTGAGAAAAAATATTCAGCTCTTGTAAGGATTTTGTTAAACCCCTTGTGAAAACAATTAGGTCGTCGACAAAGCACAAATGAGAGATCGATAGTGATCCTGCTAGTGTTTCATAATTAGCAATCCGTCCTTCCTCAACCAAGAATTTTTAGTCACCGAGATAAAGCCTCTGAAACCAGGATGAAGAGATACGGGGACAAAGGGTCTCCTTGCTTATTCCTCTGGAAGATTTAAAAAAACCGGATGGACTACCATCGATTAGAACTGAGAACCAACTTCCCCTCAAGTTGTTCATAATTAATTTTACAAATAACTCCGGAAAACCGAAAGCCTTTAAAACTGCTTCCAGAAATTGCCATGACACCCTGTCAAATGCTTTCATCATGTCAACTTTAAGGATCAAGTTATCTCCAACCGATTTGTGATTCAGGAACTGACAGAGGTTTTGAGTAAGAAGCACATTATACGTAATGTCTCGACCTGAAATGCCGACTGTTCTTTCGAGATTAACCTGTGCAAAATCTTTTTTAACCTCTCTGCAAGGATCTTCGTAAATATTTCCTTCAAGAAGTTGCATCGGCTGATGGGACTGAAATCTGAAAAATTTGAAACCGCAAGTTTCTTCGGAATAAGAGAACTTAAAGTGCTTCCAATGGCTCGCGGAAGTGGAACTCCCAGAAAAAATTCATGGCAGGCCTGTAATAAATCGAAGGAGATAATACTCCAGCATTTTCTGTAAAACTCACCACCAAAGCCGTTTGGTCCAGGAGCACTATTAGGGTCGAGACTGAATACTGCCTCACGAATTTCCTTCAATTCCAGCGGGGAGTGAAGAATACGATGGTCTTCCTACGAAAAAAGCGATGGAATATGTTGCAACAACAATTCACCAACTTCTATGCTCCCTTCAGATTCCTCTCGGTCTAACAAACCTTTGAAAAAATTAATGGCCTCTTGATCGATTTCCTCCATTGCAACCAAGAGCCATCTGTCGATTGGATTTTATGAATGGCCAAACGAGTCTTTTTTTCCGCCAATGAAGCATGAAAGAATTTCGTGTTGGCGTCTCCTTCCTTAAGCCATTTGGTCTTCATTTTCTGTCTGAATAATTCATCTCTCTCTTTTAATTTAGAATCAGATTGGCCTTTGCTTTATTCAGGTCGCTTCTATTAATCCCAGTCTGCGAAGAATCATATTGCAACTCCAACCTTTGCACTTCATCTTCTGCCCTTTTTAAGTTATCAAAGACATTGCCAAAAGAGCACCTGTTCCACTCTTTCAATTCTTCTTTCAATTTACGTAACTTGGCTGTGAATTATACCATGGCCCTTTACTGGTAGCTCCTAGTTGCTTTTAACCAGCTTCGAAAATTCCGGACAACAGAACCACATGTTTTGAAAATTATACCATGGCCCTAGGTCTTTCCTCAACATTTGGACTGAAAGTGTGGAAAATAGGGCAATGATCCGACGGAGCTTTGTTTAAATTCGGTACTGATGAGGCCGGGAAATTTACTATCCACTCTTCTGAGAATGAAATTCGGTCAAGTTTTTTACTAACCCAACTGTTCTGCCTTGTACCTCCCCAGGTGTGTTCCTCGCCGACTGATTGCAATTCTGACAATTCGCAAGCTTCAATACAGCCATTGAAGTCATCCATTGCACCTCTATCCTGCACACAAAGACCCGAGTATTCCTCAAGAGTTCTGATCACATTGAAATCACCACCGATCATCCACGGGTGGCCATGATATTGCAAATGAAAGGACACTAAATCAGCCCAGAGACTTCTTCGATCCAGCTTTGTAGACTTTGCGTAGACTGTGGAAACATAGAATTTCCTTTCTACTGACGGGTGCGCTACCTCGAAATGAAGAGCTTGATCTTGATCAGCTAACATATTTACAGTGAAGGAATCCTTGCAGAGAACCCATATCTTATTTGTGCCTGAGGCAAGACCGACATCAAAATGCAACAATTTCTTGATCTCTTCCATGTAGCTGTAATCCACCATGTGTTCTAAAATGATCAAGAATGTTATTTCATGCATACGAACCAGAGACTTCAGCCGCAATTGAGCTAGTTTGTTTTTTATACCACGAATATTCCAGATTAATTGTGTAATCATTGGAAACAATTATAGGAAAAAATGTAACCCTTAGTTTAAGCGAGCTGAACGCCAGGGCTCAAGGCCCTTTTGGATTTGCAGCCTCTCTTCCTTCGTCTTCCTACCTCGCCTTTTGGCAACCGTAGGGAACCTTGGGATTCATCCAGTTCTCCATCTGATCGACTACCTCCGGCTACGTCATTCATCATCAAATCTTGAGACGTTTGTATCTCATCATCGGAAGCACGTCGTAATGTCTGATGGGGGTTCAATGTTGGGGGATCATCTGCATATATCTTCTCTATCTCCTCCTCTGAACTGACATCAAACCAGAATCAACAGTCTGGTCCCGCTGGTCTGAATTAAGTCTATAACAACACTTGATCCTTCTCCACGTGTGGCTGTTTGCACTGGGATATCATTTTCATTCAAGCCATTACTTCCATCTGTTTATTTACCTCCACTCTCTGAGGGAAGTGGAAGCGAGTTGTCTACAACATCAACTGGAATTGACTTCTTCTCATTCTCGGTCAGGCCTGATGTAGAACCAACCGCCTTATTTCCGGGATTAACACTCTTCTTCTTATTTAGGGTTTTCAGCTGCGTCTTAGCCTTAGCTTTCTTCAAAACAACGCTTTTTTTTTCTGCTTCTCCTCCTTACCGTGCATTTTTAGCTGATCGTCCAATTGATCAGAGGGCTGCTTCTGTTTTCCAAAGCGGCAATCAACCTCTTTTTTACCTATCTTACAGCATTTGATACAATAAGACGGGATGTATGGTAAGTGAAGAATTGTTCGTGTTTCTTCCCTTTCTTTCCTATCTTTACTAATTTAGGGAACTCCTTTGTGAGATCTATTTCAACACAGCATCTCGCTAACAAAGGCGGCGATATATTCAGCGTTGGTGTGCCCACCTTCAAGGGCTTCCCGATCACGGTAGCGATGGAGAAAAGGACTTCCGGATGAATATACTCTACGGGAAGATCACAAAGTGACACCCAAATGGGAACAATTGGGGGGTCTTCTTCAAAGTGAAACACTGGCTGCCATTTAAGGATACGCATAGAGAAGCCTGCAATGTTCCGAAACGTCCGAATCCAACAATACTGATAAACATCTTTGTTGTCGAAACGAATCAGAATATGCCTGGGATTCATCAAACCAACGGTGTAAATTCCTTGAAAGCCAATCGATTTAAACTCCTTGTGAATATCCTCCATTTTGGTCTCCCATAAGAGAATTCCCTACTAGAATCAAACGATGAGGTTCTATTAGTCGTGCCAATTCGTCATCAACGAACTCGAGGACTGGAGTTCCATTTATGTATTTGATTTCCTTGATCAGAGAGGATTTGGATGATTTTGGATCGGATGGCTTCTGAAAGGGACTAGTGAAAGACCGTGGAGGTCCAAAAGAGGCCTCCACTGAAGAGGCGCCGGCCATGATGGCCGGAAAAGCAAGGTTCTAAACTGGTCACCGCTAGGGATTGGGGTGCGCCGCTAGGGTTTTGTGTATCTAATCTTATCTCAATTGTCATATGAGACTTTGGTTATCTCTAGTTTTACCCCATGATTGAAAGTGTATTGATTGATAAAAAGGTAAAATCACACTCATTGTTTAAAAAAAGAAAAATGTGCAAACAAACCCTAATTTTGAGCTAGCTTTTTTCGGCCATCACTGCCGGCGTGCCACGGGCCAATGCTACCATGGCTGTCCCACTGGACAAAGTCGCACCTTTTCAAGTTTCTTTGGAAAACCAGTTATCTCAAAGCCACTTTTGGAGGAATCGAGTTCTCCTATGCACCCTAAGAAGGTTACCTTCTTCAATGGGATGCCGGAGCTCGAATATGATAATGAGGAATTTAAAGAATCGATTGCTCCTAACAAGATGAATCTAGGGGAAAATTCTCTTATGGAAGACCAAAATTGGAGGTCTTGCGTGAGGATTTCAAGAAAATTGGGTTCAAGGAATCATACGTGTTGATTCGGTTCGAATTGGAGGAAGATTATCAACGTTGTTGGATCACATCCTTATGGAATATTGGAGGCTACCAAATGCGAATTTTGAAATGGCAACAAGGCTTAAAGTTCGAAGAAGACCCTCCAATTGTTCCAATATGGGTATTGTTCCATGAGCTACCCTTGGAATGGACACATCCGAAGGTTCTTTTCTCTATTGCATCCGCAGTCGGAAAGCCCCTTCAATTAGACACGCCAACTCTAAATTTAACAAGGCCGTCTGTAGCACGCTTATGTGTTGAGGTTGACCTTACCAAGGAGTCGACGAAGTCAATTCACATTGGGAAAAAAGGGAAGAACTATGAGCAGCACTATACCTACGAATATGTTCCATCATACCACCCGGCTTGTTGTAAGATAGCCCATAAAGAATCGGATTGTAGGAAGGGTAAAGGAGTTTCTTTGAATGTGTTAAAGGCTGATGCTTTAAAGAAGGCTGAACACGCAGATAAAGAGGTGAACTTGGCCGGGAATAAGAAGGGAATTCGATTGCAGCAGCAAAAAGTGACTTGGGGCTCTAAAAAGATGGGAAAGAAGACTAAATTGCAGGTTGATATCATTAAGGAAAACCCCCTGATTGTTAATGGTGTGGAGCTGCAAGTTGTAGAGTCGTGGGCTGCGAAAACCCTAGTATCGCGACCTATGAAAACCCTAGAAGCGCGCGTCTGGGGATCAACTTCATATTTGTCTGTGAAGGAGAAGTGTGTTTTTCCTGTGACATTGTGGATAGTCCCCCTACTAATTCTGGGCGTCATGTGGAAGATAATGTCCACGTTGATCCTGAGGCTCGAGTTGTTGATAATCCGTGAATGGAGACTAACGCGCAAGGGGAATTTGGCCCTCCGTCGCAATCAACTCGACTTGCAGTCTTGCAGGATATAGAAGCAATGGATGACCATTCTAAGCTATGTGATCTGAATAAATCAGCTCCAGTATCGCAAGTTGTGATTCTTCAAGAATTTGATGATGATTGTGATGCAGTTAAATCTTCAGATAATGTTGATGATGATGATGTGGAGAATGTGTTTACGGAAGAACACAATGAAAGCCAGTTGGTTCTTGTTGACAAGGTACTCTCAAATAATCTGGTTAATGAGGGTTTGCCTTCAAAGCTCTTTCATCCGGATGACTCTTTGGCTGCAGATTTTATTGAAACGGATGATGATGATGCTCATGATGGTTTCTAGTCTGAAGGGGATAAGGATGCGGCTGACTTGGATGAGAATGCGCAAGGCGAATTTTCAATCAAGAAGAAGCGAGGCCGCAAATTGAAGGAAGAGCGCCCCAAGCTGCTAGTGTTATATTTTGGAATATTAGAGGAATAAGAAAACAAGCTTCCCATAGATGCTTGAGAACTCTCATTCAGATTTATAGAATTGCTTTTTTGGTGATTCTGGAACCATGTTAGCTATAAATAAGTTTGACGAAATAAGGCGCGAGCTGAAATTTGATTTTGCTTTCTCTTCAAGCACTAGCAACATTTGGGTTTTTCATAGTAAATTATTTACTGTAATCGGTTGGAAGTTGGTGAGCAAATGATGCATTTTGAGGTTGGATATGTGCCACTTCAAAGGAGTGTTCTATTCACTGCAGTGTATGCAAAGTCAAATAAGGTGGAGAGAAGCTTGCATCTATCCCAACCTTGGGTTGTTGGAGGGAGTTTGAATGTCATAAGGTCTCGTGATGAGTATTCAGGAAACTCAGTTCAGGATTATGGTGCCATTGATGAATTTAATTAGTGTATCAAGGTGAATAATCTGATGGAAGTCTCCCCGGTTGGAGATGGATTCACTTGGGGTGGAACACGAGCTACTGGTTGGGTTATCAAGAAGTTGGATCACATTCTATTTTCTCCGGAATGGATGGACATGTTCCCACGGGTTTCCATTGAGCATTTGAGTCGAACTACATTGGATCACTCCCCATTGCTACTTCAGATTGATGCTCAACTTGAGACTAGGCTGAGATGTTTCAGGTTTCAAAAAATGTGGCTTCGAAGAGGTGAGTTTAAGGACATCATTAAAGCTAGCTGGTTGCAATCGGTTGGTCGTTTAGGCATTATGGCCTTCTCTATAAGCTTCGCCATTTGAAGCTTGTTCTAAAGGAATCGAATAAAACACAATTTGGCGATGTCTTCCAAAATTTGAAAATGACGGAGGATAGAGTGAAGGAATTAGAAATTGTCTATGATCATTCTGGTCATGCGAACGATAGGCTAAACCTAAACTTGGCTACTTCTACTTTGCTTCAAAAACTTAAGGAACATGATGACTTTTGGAAAAAGAAAATGCAGTTAACATGGTTCAAGGAGAGAGATAATAACACTGCCTATTTTCGTGCTTCTCTTGCTGAAAGAAAGTTGAGGATGGGGATCCAAAAGATTCAGACAGAGGATGGATGTGTCTAACAAAGCTTTATATTTGCATGATTTGCAAGATGTGCTAACACCAGAAGTGTCATAGACATTGAGATGTGTGGATGAAACCCTAGCGACGGGTCACGATTTGTTGATATGGCAGCACTCTTCTTCTGGTTTCCTTACCATTAAATCTGCTTATTCACATCTAAGGCGGAGGGGATCGGTGGATACTCTATCCAAGAATTATTGGCACAAGTTGATTCCCTTGAAAATATTTTTCTTTGTATGGAAGCTTTGTAATCTACTTGTTCCATTTCCGGAAACCTTGAGTAAGTTTGGAATCTATGTTATGCCATCGATTTGTCTGTTTTGTAAAGTCCATGGTGATTCTATGGTGCATTTTTTTCTTCAGTGCTCTGAGGTCAAGGAAATTTAGAAAGTTTTCTTTAATTTATTTGGAATACCATGGAGGGAGGAAGCAAGTTTGCTTGCGGTCTTGCATCAGTGGTGGAAGCGAGACAGTTTTTCCTCAGCCCTTAAAGCTTTGGTCAAAATTGTTCCATCATTCATTCTTTGGGAGATTTGGAAAATGAGAAATAAGATGTTATTTGATGGGGAGCAATTCAGTCGTAAAAAGGTGGAACTAATAAATGTTTTAGCAACTCATAATTTGAAGGCAAGGAATGTAGAAGAGAGGGATTTGATTGAAAATAATTTTGGATTCCAGCTTCAAAGGGTAATGGCGCGAAGTTGTATCTCTGTTTGTTGGAGGGCTCTAGATCGTAGTGATTATGTGCTCAACACTGATGGCTCAGTGATTAATTTGGATTTGGGATATGAATTTTGCATTAGGAAGAAGGATGGGAGTTTTGTATATGGTGAAAGTGGTTATTTAGGAGTAGGCGACAGCTTTGGTGCTGAGGTATATGGAGTTCTATTTTGGGCAAGAAAATGTGGTCAACTTGGATTAGAAAAGGTGGAAATCCAAACGGATAACAAACTTTTAGCTAACCTTTTAGAGTTTATGAAGAATGTGCGATGGAAGTATTATCAGCAGATAATGGAGATTCGTCACATAATGGAGAGGCAAGTCTATATAGTTCAGCACATATTTAGAGACGCAAATTATGTGGTAGATGGCTTAGCTGGAGAAGCATCACTTTGAATATCAACTAGATACAACATTATGAGTAATTTACCTACACATGTTAAGGGACTTGAACTCTTAGATCAGGTTTTCTTTCCATGCATATGGATTCGCTATAAATAGTCTCTTGTATACTGGTAAGTTTTAAGCACTGCCAAGTTTCTGGTTTGATATTTAATAAAATAAGGGATGAAGGACGCTAGAGAGCTGGATGATAAATATGTCCATCCCTTGGGTGCATTATATCATCTAGCACTGACTGACTCAAAAATCCATCTGTTAGGTATACCCCTTGAGTGTTTTTGAGTTAGTTGGAAACTTAATTTCTTTCCACCTTCCTATTTGTTTAAAAAAAAGATTTTTTTGTGTATATATATATATAATATATAAATTTGATTATGTTTTATTCCTTATTTACAAGTGTATTCCATAGTTTTTGTTTTTTCAAAACAGTCATCTTGGCAAATTTTACTTGATATAATTTATATTTACAATTAATTTTTTAAATTAATAAAATGGTTTTACTATTTATAAAATTTCTAAGCTTTGTTTTTTTTTCCTTTTTTTTTTTGGTGTAAGTAGTAGATAGTGCAATTTAATTAAGAATTCATTTTTTACTTATATAATCCATAGGATATCATGTCATTATGTTTAGAGTAAACACCAGTGCTTATAGACAACTTGGAAACGAATGGGGAATTCTGCCGGCAAACGAACAAGGATTTGTGTCAGGAAATCCTCATTCTTGGCTATGACATTTGCCGAGAGCAATGATGAATTAGAAATGTTGTCGTCGAAGAGGCGTCGGGATCTCAGGGTTGAATTCAAAAGTTAATTGAAATTGGATTTCAAGGGTTGTGAAGAAGGGACGATGGGTATGAGTTGACGGGTGTATAAAAGTAGACTTTATTTTGCCTTTAACTGTAACAATTATTGGGAAAACTAAACTTTTAAGACAACACTAGTGAAACTGCTGCCGTTTAGTTGGTCGTAATATTACCATAATCTATATTTATAGATTTTTATATTAAAGGAGTGTTTTTAATTAAGTAATGATTACAGTAATATTTCGGACTCTAAATGAGAACTGCTCTGATCGTTATAATGCTAATACTTGTTCTATGCCCGTGCACTGCAGGGATTTAATTTGATTTTTTTATTTTGTGGTTTAGATAGGTAACTATGCCAAGGAAAGAATAAATCGATTTCTACATTGATCTAATATTGAATGTTTTGGCTTGTTTGGCTATAAGTCGTGTTGTATAACTATGATAGGCTAAAACATTAAGTATATAAATCCCTGTGAGTTTCGTTGCAGAAAAGTACAACCAAAAGAACCATGGAAGGCATTAATATTGCCAAATTACGACCAATGCCCTACTTCCAACTGACAAACAGTTACCCATAGTATCTAGTTTTGAAGTTTGTAAAAACATTGTTTTTTTTAAACAAATAGGGCTTCTGGTTTGTATTACTTTTCGTTTGCAATTCTAGTATTCTGTTACATGCTTCCTCTTGGGTCCTTTTGGTTCCTTGAAGAACAGAGAAAATAATAGATCATGTGCCTCTTTTCCTTTGAGCCCCTGTTATACTTGTAGTCGAGGTTTTGTCATGTTTGCCGTTTGCTATATACATTTCCTTGAGGGTATTGATATGTTAAAGGATCCCCAGTAACAAATAGCAAACACATATCTACACGCCGAAAATTAATCACCTATGCAAAATAGTATGCTATTATATGTAAGTATCTAATATGAATAAACTTTTATTTATTTTATTCAATCAATATGCACTACTCATCACTATCTTATTTCAGGTCATGTATCTTAAATTTATCAATATGTAATTCTAAATAGTGTAAAAATTTTGTCACTTCTATCTTTTTCTTTCTTTTAAATCTTACTTTTACCTCTTCATCATGAGTTGATTGGAAGTAATCATCTTTCATTGTTCATCTTTATCCTTTTTTTGCCCTTCTGGAATTTATTTTATGTCTTTGACATATTTTCCATTTATTAATATCTTGTTTTTCATTCTTTATGTTTTGATGTTTTTATTTTTTGTTTTTGTTATAGTTGTCTTTGATTGTGTTTTCGTTTCTCAATGTCTTTCCATCATTTTCTTCTCTCTTTTTTCTTTTTTTTTTCATACATATTGTAGGATGTTAACCGTCAACAACAATGATTAGTTTCCCTAGCTAATGATAAACACCTTGATGGATAAGACAACTAGCCAGATTTAAGCTTTTCCATTGTAAGGTTGATTGCTGTACGGAAATCTTATTCGAAATCAATCAAACCTTCATCTTCTTCTGTTTTTTGAATTGAATGTTTTCATCAATGAAAATTTCAAAAATTGTTACATAATCTTATATATTAAAAGAGTTGAGTTTTTGGACACTTGTCGCATAATAGAGTGTTCAATCAAACAATCAAAAAAATTAGACTCAATTAGATACAATAATCCTATATATAAAAGAGTTGATTTTCGAACACTTCTTGCATAATGGAGTGTTAAACGAAACAAAAAAAAATTAGACTCAATTAGATTATATATTTTTCTAATTGAAAGGTTAGGACAATATTTAGGTTCAAACTAACCCAAAAAATACTCTAGGGGTAGTATACCGAAGAGATATGTTTTAAATCAGCCAGTGCTAGATAGTATAATGCACCCAACGGGTATACTCAAGGAATGGACATATATACTATCTAATTTCCTAGTTTCACCCCTCCTAGATTTTATAGCACTTAATTAACAAAGGGTGCCAAGGGCAGAGTAGTCTAACCCGAGGCTAGTATAATAAATATTCTCCTATACTCAATTACGTAAATAAGGGAATGACCTTTGACTAAGACCAATACTCCTTTTACATAAAAATTTTGGATTCACCCATTGCTGCCCTTTTTGCCAAAAAAATCTGCAACCGTATTTCCTTCCCTATAAATATGTGTAATAGAGTATCTGTTTCTTGCCAAAATGTTGCTCATCTCAACCAGCTTCAGAAAGTGCTTCCAAGGATACCCCAGTTGTTTTATTAAGGCATCAGCAAGAATCTTATTATTTGTCTGAACTACCACATTTGAAAGTTGTAGTAGCTCACATCTTTGCAACCCAAATAGAATGCGAAATATCTCCGATGTAAAGCTATCTCTATCTCCAAGATAACAACACTCTCCATACACAAAAGTTCCACCTTCCCCCCTTATCACAAAGCTATAACCCGCTTTGTTCGAGCTTGAAGATCCATCACAATTAAGATAAAAGAATTTGGCTCTGGTGGCATCCACTTCAGATGAGATAGAGTGAATTACAGAATTCAAAACAAGCATCTTACCTTCAAAGAAAAATTTATTCCGTGCCTTCCAAACCTCCCAAAGGATGAATATTGATAACAATTTGTACAAAACTCCTTTCTCTGTATTGAACGATCCCTTCTTCCACCCCCTCTTCAGCAAACAAAGAAGATTTGTAGTACCCCTTATATCAACACCCATGATTAAAGAAAAATATTTCCATATTAATGTTGTAAAGCAGAAGCTATAGAAACAATGGCCAATTCCCTCCGCTTCACATCTACATAGGCCACATATAGAAGGGTTAGTTTGAATACCAAAGGTACTTAGAATTTCTGGAAAGGCTAGCAACCCACTACGAAACTTCCATAAGAAAAAAGAAATGCGAGAAGGGATTTTCTTGTGCCAAATATTCCTAAGGATAGGCTCAACACATTGACGACTCCTAAGAGCTTCAGAAGTAGCCTTCACGGAAAAGTCACCTTCGGGAGAATTCTGCCATATCAAGATATCTTCCTCGTCCAAAAAATTGAGTATTGCATTCTCCAAAAATGCAAAAAGTTGGGGGACGAAAAGTGCATCTGGTCCTTAATCAATACTGAAAA